AAGGAGCCYGAGAAGTTGTAATGGGGCGGTTTGGAATGAGGGGGCGCTGAGGAGGTGTCTTTAACCTCCCGGTAAGGATGGAAAACAGAGGCGCGCCCGGCCGCCTCTGCCACCCCTCTGAGCCCTTCTTAGCACCCGGGTTTGACTGCTCCACCTGCTCATAGCGCTCCAGCTCTCTCTTCCTGACCAGCTATTTAATTTCTCTTTGTTTTTCTCCATCTTTTCTCTGCCGGCCGTCGAGGATCTCTTTCTTTGTACCTACTTCTATCTACCTGTCCAGCTGTCTCTTGTGCCCTTTTCAGGCCCCAACGAGGGGAGGGCCAAAAGAACTCAAAGTTTACAGGAGGCGGCCCCACTGGCGGTCTCCGCTCCTTAGTCCAGAGTGAGCTCCTTAGACTTGGCTGTAACTGTGGTAGCTGGTCACCGGAAAAAAAATATTTCCTCTTGAAGGGGAGGGCCTTTTTGAGGAGGGAAATGTTTCCTGAAACATTCAGTATGGACCAGCTTAAGACAAGGCAGCATATTGCAGGAGAAGGTACAGGCCCTAGTGGAGCAAATTCTGTATCATTTTGATTAGAGACACAGCTTACATACTCCTTCTCCATGAAGCAACTGTGCATGAAGTGGGCATTGGATATTGTGGGCTGCCTTGTCTTAGTCCTAGAGATTTCAGCATATTTGATCAGATTCCTGATATCTCAGGCAAGACCAGGTGACAGTATCTACCTGACCTTTGTGCACATGATTGTCCTGTCTTTTAATTTGTCTTTTTAGGCACCAAGTTCAGTTCACTCTCCTCCCTCTGATTCACATTTTTGAGTGCTTATGTGAATGGTTGATGAGAAGTTCTTATCATTTTAAATATCACCCACTGATATTTTAAAATTTGATGAAAAATGCTGATCTACCCAGGGGAATGATGCACTTTATTATACTTGCCAAACCCACCATTTCAGAGGGTTTTAGTCTCCTCAGAGCCTAGGTTAAGAATTCCTATTTGGAATGATCAAAGGAGCTGGTGTTCAGAAAATGCCACAGTGTCACTTTTTCCCTTTGACTGTTGCCTCTATTTTCTCCAGGCCAACCTTCACCTTTCAAAACATTCAGGTTGCAATGATACCCACCATTGCCAGTAAGGTCCAGACTTCCAGGGGGGGGGGTGGTCAGTGTTTCTTTCCAGACGCCAGGGAGCTGGTGACAGTAGGAAGAGTTTTACTGGGGAAAGTTGATCTTGGACTGGCTATGGGTGGGACMAGGTTTGGGCAGCCTCCCAGCAACTAAAAATCTTTATTGGGACTCTACTGGAGAGAGACGGGTATCCAGAGACAACCCCATAGCTAATGTTCTGAGCCAAGAAAGCAAAATGGGGATCAGATGAGGCAATAGAATGTTCTTTTGTGTCCCTTATTGATCTATCTGTTCAGTTTCCTCAGGTAATCCAACTGGGCATGGGAACTGAGGAATTAAACCAAGGTTTGAGGCTGGGGAATATCAAACTCTGTGCTGGAAAGGGGAGGATTTGCTCCTAAATACTTTTATAATCTTTATAAACATCCAAACAGTATATTTATAACAGCCAAACAGTATGTAATCTCTGTCAGTCCTGGAGATCTCCCAGTTTCACCCAGCTTCAAGTATTGTGGTTTATTTCCATATAGAAGTTTAGTTAGCTTTTCTTGCCTAGCCTAGTAAAATGATATGAGTTGACCAAGCCAGATCTTCCAGAAGAAAAGCTAGGCTTTTTTTGGAGTCTGGGAAGTAAGCAATTTTTTTCCTAGGATTATGTTCAGACATAGTAAAGAAACCAGAATTATCTGGTCAATTTTACCTTCCCCTGAACACACATATACACACCATGCCCCGGCTCTCCTGGCTGTTCCTCAATTACCTACACATTTCAAATAAAGGTGACTTGGAGCAGATAAGGCTCCAACCATTTCCCATTGCCCCTCTTTGAGCTGGCACAAAGACCACCTACCAGCCCACCTATAGCCCTGGTCTGTGACAAGAAGCCAATGACTGGCTAATAGTATTCAAACCCCTGCCTGAAGATAAAGAGAAAAAAAATAAACAATTTTCTGCTTGGGGCAGCTTAAACTGAATAATCCTGGCTGTGAAAACCTGACCTAAATGCTTTTAATCAGAGCAGAAGGAATATATGCCCATTTGCTCTCTACTTTACTAATTAAAGAAAGCTAATTAATGTTTTCAGGAACTTCCAACTGAGGGTCAGGAGCCTCTAGTCATCTTTTCACCCCTCCTTGCTCCCCTACACCCCACCCTTACTCCCACAGGGCTGTCCCCACTGTAGAGTTGGCCTCTTTCTGATAGACAATGTGGGGGGCACCCCTGACCCTTGGGCTCCACCCCTGCACCAGGACTTTGGCCCTGAAAAGCTGCCTTCCATTGGCCAAAAGTTCTTGCTCAGCAGAGTTTCCCCCCTTCTCCTGTCCCTGGGCTTGTTTCTGGGARCCAGACCTCTCAATGTCTGCCAAGTCAGCACTGCTGATTGGTGGGGTGTGGCTCCCACTGGAGCTGCACATCTCAGCCCAATGCTGGGCACACAGTAGGTGCTCAATAAATGTTCACTGAATATGGAATGAAAGTCCCCATCGGGTAAAATCCTGACTGGTTTGAAGAGTTTCTGGGTGGGAGCATGGAGAGCCCCAAGACCTCCTGACTGCCCCAGGAAGTGGATAAGACCTGATTTTTCTCAAGCATTTCTCATTTATTCTCTTTAATTCCAGTCCCCTTACCCCTGTTTTTATTTTTTTTAAACCATTTTCTAAGGCAGGATCCTACCCTGCTCACTCCAGCAAAGGGAAAGGGCTCACCTAGAAGTCAATTGAATATATGCTGTGGCTGGCTTCCCAGACTTTTCCCCATGAGACCCAGATTCTTCAAGCTAAAAGGAGTTTGAACCTGAAATGAGCCAGGTAATTGCCCCAATTCTCTGTTCCTTATTGAAGAGGTAGTTACAGGCCAAGGGGTTCAAGGGGCCTCACTTTTATGGACATTGCTCTAAGTCTAAAGAATACACTATACACATGCAGGCTGAGACTCACACCCTCCAACCTAGACTGGTTCTCTGAGAACAAAGCAGGCTTCCTCCTCCTCCCCCTTCTGCCACTGCCTCCTCCTCCTCCTCCTCCTGCTCCTCCTCCTCCTCCTCCTCCTTCTCCTCCTCATTAATAGCTACCATTTACCAAATGATCTCTGTGCACCAGGAATTGTACTAGATCCTAAGCACACAGTACATTAATTAATCATTACAAAAAACTTAAGAGTTAAGATATCCAGATTTTTCAGGCACAGAAACAGAGTTTTCCAGTCACGCGGGTGTGTGTGTGTGTGTGTGTGTGTGTGTGTGTGTGTGTTCGGTAAGGTTGATGTGATACTAGCAGATATAAATGTTCAAGGGTATAACGAGATGGAAATAAAATGGAGAATGAGAAGATCTTAAAAGTTTTGAAATATAGAATGTTTTAATAGAAGGCAAATAGTTTCTCCTGCCCTAAAGTGAACAAAGAAGTGAGGCAATTAACTGGCTAATTCCTAGACCCAAATGCTTTCCCTTGAAATGGGCGGATAATGAGGCCGACAGTATGTTCGCAGTTGAATTCGCCTGATGTTGCTCCATTTTCCTCCCAACTTTTGCGAATCCATTGGGCAATCACAGTGAGACGCACAGACGCCGCGCGGTCGCGCGCACACGCACACACAGGAATGCTGACACACACAGACCCGACTTTATTCTGCCTCCAGAGTCTTTTATGACTCAGCCTTGGGAATGAAAATAGGGTTTGGAGGGAAATAATGGGCCCAAGGCCGGGTGGGGCACAGCTGCTCCAGATGTGCACGCAGTAATTAGGCGTCCATGAGAACTGCTGCCCGGCTGGGAAAGGAGCATCCCCTGGGACTGAAGACCCCGGCAAGCCCATCGCTGTAGTTGGCCTGTAGTAGACATGCTCTTTGCTGCCCCGCCCCAGCGTCCCGCTCGGCCTCTCTCCTTTTCCTCCCCAACTGGGGATTCTCTGGCTCCTCTCCCCTAGGAATAATTTAAGCCGAGAGCTTTAGGGCTCCACCATGTAAAATGGCGCCTCTGCCTTGGGTGAAGGGATCCAGGGGACCTTGATTTCTCCCATGCARTGTTTCCCAGGTCCTGGATGTCTCTGAGCACAGACCCAGAGTTGTTGAGTCCCAGGGAAGGGCTCTCTTTTTTTGCTCCACCTAGGACTTAACAGAGGTCTCATTTAGGCCAAGAAGAATAGTGACCTGCCACCAACCCTAATTGTCCCTGGTTTTTTTGAGTTTATGATGAAGCAGTCCTATAGCCAACATTTTATTTTAATGATCAGGACCTCTTATTCAAAGCTCACAATATCCCTGTCCAATAGGTCTTTTTCATTAGGGCTTTTGAAAGGCTGAAAACACTATCCAGTATCACACACAGTTAGGAAAGTTATAAACTGGCCATTTCCTGGAAGGGAGGGGACTGGATTTGTCATGGTCCTGGCTGAGCTGCCCCTGTATCGSCCTCCACTTTTCTTATGCAGTGCCCACAATATGCCCCCCCAAGCCCCCACACTTCCAACAAAGACAACCCCCAAAGGCTGTCTTTCCAGAAATGAATTATAAGAAAAACAAGTTTGTTGGGGTGGCTGGTTGTCATAATTTGGAGGAAGAAAATTCCATTTGAAGTGGAGGTCACATCCTCTGCTTCACCACTTTATTAAAAGCTGCTCTGATCTTGGGCTAAACACTTAATTTCTTCGAACCCCAGTRTCGTCTTCTGCAAGTTGAGGGAGGGAGTTAAAGTCGCTGGCGCGGCCCTCCAGCCGGCTGCAGGGGAGATCAAAGAAGATTCGGGCTCTGGAAGGCTCCCTAGCGTCGGGGCTGGGGCTGGGTGGGGGGGGTGGGTAGGGGCGGGTGGGTCCTTGATTAGTTGTGATTCCTTTTCCAGCCCGCACTCTTTTAATCTTGTTTCTCTTGCTTGGCAGAGGGCGCCAAAGGCGACACGCCGGCGGCCAACTCCAGGCCAAGCCCAGTGCGTCGGCAGAAACTGGCCCTTTCACCCAGCACCGAACACAGAGCTGCCGGAGGATTTGTGCCTGGAGGACTCAACGCCAGGGCGCCGCCTAGAGGTCGGTCGCGGCCTCKGCCTCACTCGCCCGCCACAACAGAGCTGCTTCCCAAGCCGCAGCCAGAAATGGCAAAAACAAAACAAAACAAATTTTAGCTTGGATCAGGGACTGGGCTACAGTTCTCTGAAACCACCTCCCCTCCTCCCCATAATAAACCTCAGGAAGGGAGAGGAGCCAGAAATTCTCAGAAATACTTATTCTTGTGACTCTCACTAAATGGAAGAGGGTCTCAATTTTCTTTTTCTTTAAGGGTCTTCTGTTCTGCCTTTGTTTCTACACTTTCTCCTCTCACCACCCAAATTATCCAGACCCTCCCCTTAATGCTAATACCCTGCTTTACCTTCTAGGAAGAAAAGGGAAAAGGGAAGTTGTCCCTGAACCTTACAGCTTGGCCATCAATTTTTGAATAATTTGGAGACTGACCTGCTTTTTGGAAAAGTATTTGGAAAATATTTCGGAGTGTAAAAAAGAACTGCATAGGGCTGGGGATATAGCTCAGTTGGTAGAATGCTTGCCTTGCATGCACAAGCCCCTCCCCCCTCCAGCACCATCCAAACCAAACCAAACAAAACAAAACTACCTAAAAGGTCTCTACTCAGTAACCACCAGCTCAGCTAGGGGTCTAAGCGGTGTTTAGGAGGGTATCTCTGTCCATGTGACCATGGGAGTCTGTACTGAGCATTTGAAAGATGACTTGTTTCTTTCAGGCTAGGTGACCTTGGAAGGAATCTGCAGAATGGGTGTGAGGTGTCCTTTGGTAGAGTTATATTTTTTAAACTGAGATCAGTGGCCTGGCATCTGGGGGGAGAGTGGATAAGCTGCAAAGCCCCTGAAAGTGAATGTAAAACATGCCTGTGCACAGGTGTGTTGTTCTAAGGCTGTAGCCTCTTCAGGTTTTCTAAAGAACCTGTTTCCTCATCCAGGTAGCTACAGAGATCTGGCCAGAAATTGGCTGGGAGCCAGCACACTGACCTATCCTGGTGGCAGGTCCCTGGAAGGGGACAGAAAAATAGCAGTCCTAAAATAGCTTAGAAACTGCTGGTCCCTCATTTATGCCCTCCCCCCTTCTCTATGGTTCTCAGAGGCATATTCTAATAGAAGGGGTGAAAGCCAGTAGGTGCCATCACAGTATTTTAAATAAAAATATAGCATGATAAAGAGCAAAATTAGAGAATTGGGGCACATAATGAGGAGAGGAACTGGAGGGGGCCTCCCCAAGCAAATCCCGAAATGTGAATGTTGGATAGAAATAAGATTCTTCCTGTCTTCCAGCTGTTAAACAGCTCCCCCTTCCTTCCTCCCTTTTGGTGCCAGGAAGGGGCCAGAGGGCACCCCATCATCACCACTATGTCACTTTTAACCCCGGTCAGGCCAGGGCAGAGTGGGACTGCCTGCAACAGTTAGCCTGTCAAAAAAAAATTTTTTTTTTAAATGATAGAAGACAGCCTGATTATTTTCTGAGTCCATTCCATTTTCTTTTTCATTAAAAAAAAAAAAATCTCCAGCAATGCTTTGGCACCTATTCTTGGGGAGAGGAATGGAGTTGGCTGGTTCAGGCTGCACCTGTGTGTTTGGGGGATGGGGTACCCCTCCTGGGCCTGCAGCTGTGTCTCCACCCTGTACCTGAGCAAAGCCTGAGCTAATCTCAGCCCTCCAGCGTGTCTAAGATCTGAAGCCTTGGTGTTTAGGGGCAGTTGGAGAGAATAACTTCTCTCACCACCACCACCCCCCCCAAAAAAAAAAAAAAAACATTTCACAGGTGCCCCAGACAAAGGGAGCAGGAAGTCAGTATCTTTGCTCCCAGTTACCTGGAGCTCAAAAAGGAAAAGAGATTTTCCTTAGTTTTGGTTCACAGTAGCCTGGTAGCAAATCCGGATTTCACAAAGTTTTGGAAAAAGCAAACGGGTTCAGAGCAGAAAAGAACTATACGGAGGAGAGTTGAAACTTGGGTAGTGGTTGTTTTTGTTTGACTTTGAAGCTTTTAAAGACCCAGACAGAAGTCCGTGGTTGAGGCAGATTTGAACACCACTCCTCTCTGGCTGTCACTTCCACTTTGTCGACCGGTCCCTCGGGCTTCTCCTAAGGAACCTCTGGTCCCCTCAGCCCCCTTGAGAGTTTTGCTGAATCTTATCTCTGGTCTTGCAAGCACCTGGCAATAATAAACGGGCGGGGCAGGGCAMAGGTCTGGCCTCTAGAGAGGTGGAAAAAAAAAAAAAAGACCCAAAAACACACACACCAAAAAAAAAAAAAAAACCCGGATTCAGCGGAAAGACGCAAAGAATGGAGGCCACGGGGCAAAACTGGGAGAGTCGGGGCTTTCTCAAGAAGCGCCTCTGAGAACCTTGGAGAGAGACTGGGAGCAGCATCCCAGCAGCCCTTGACAGTGCTCCGGGCCCCGTGAATTCTCTAGGCGGTGGCTTACAGTCCTGGCGGTGARGCGTCCGGGCCGCGCGAGGGTCGGGTCAGCGCGCCGCGCTCCCGGGAGAGGAGAAAAGCACGCCTGGCGGTCATCGTGGCTGAGGCAAAGGCCCGGGGACCAAGGCTGCTTCTCTCCACGCGGACAAAGTCTGTGCAAGCAAAAGAAAGAAGACGAGGAGGGTACTTCTTCGGCTCGTAAATTTGTTTCCCCTTCCTTTTAACCCGCCCCCGGCCGTCTTTCTTTTCAGGGCAGGAAGGGATGTAAACCGTTTGAAGTTCATCAACACGGTGAAGTTTTATTGTATTTCCGGTCCCCAAGATTTATACCCAGGAGGGGGAGCCGGCCGCCGGGCAGACTCCTTCGTTGCCTTGGGCTTCCTCGCCGGACACGTGGCCACTCGGACACTGGCCTCCGGGTTGAGGCCGGAAGGGAACCGGTCCTCATCTAGACGGGGACAGTACCTTCCGAAGGATGCTTGGATGCTTCCACCCAGCCCCGCGGCCGCTTCCACCCAGCCCAGGTAAGCCAGCTGGGAGAGGCCGCGGGTGGTTGTGGGATGAGTGCAGCGCGGGTGTGAGCACCTGTGAGTACATGAATGTCTGGGAAGGTAGGGCTGGGCAGTGGGGGACGTCGGGGGCGGGGATGAAGGGCCCAGACAGAAGGTCAGGGAGGAAGAAGCAAATTTGTTTTCTGCGTGCCAATCCAGGTCCATAGCCTCCCGGTTCCATTGTAAAGGCGAAATGAATTCTTACCTGGGGCAGCTCAGCGTCTCTGGAGCCTGGGCCTTGGACCATTTCAGCAGGGTGACTTTCATAGAGATTATTCCTGACAGTTGGCTGCTCCCTCCAAATCACATTCTTCCTCTGTTGCTATCTAGAATTCTTGATACGGATGCTCGGTCACTTTCTTTCTTGCACTTTGTCCCTGTCACTTTCTTTCTTGCTCTTCTTGGCCCCTTCTCCTGTCTGTGCACACCCCAGTCTCAAAACTGAGGGTGGTTGTAGAAGATTTGGGTCCTCACAGCTGTCCTGGGAGGCTGGGTGACCCTGGAATATAGGGTCTAGCCAGATGGTGAGTGTAGACACACCTTCATAAAGGTTGGAAGTCGAGAATCCTTTTCATCTGTGGAGACTTCCAGCTGCAGAGACAGGCTGAGGAGGCAGACACCAAGCAGGTATATCAAAGGGCCATGCCTAGGCCTGGAGCTTGGCCCAGGGTCTTCTCTGGCCCGTGCTCCTGGAAGAGAGAAGTTCCTGGAATCTGAGCTGCCAGGACCAGCTCCAGGACCCTTTCATCTGGAATTCTGGATCCAGTACCTTAGATACATTGCTTACTAGCAACTGGATTCTGTGAGAAGAAATAGAGGAAAATAAGTAGAAGAAAGTAAGTTAAGTGGCCATTTTGGCCCACAGGATGGCCACAGGGGCCTGCCCCAGTGAGCCCTTGACCTGGAGCTTGAATTGAGACTGCTGAGTGAATTAGGTAGTTTCATGTTGTTGGGCCTGGGTTTCTGAACACAACGACATTAAACCACCAGATTCACGGCAGTTACTGCTCCTCGCTTAGCTGGAGGAGTGGGGTGGGGGATCTTAGGACTGATGTGTCACTCTTGCAAAATGGTGGAAATGTTTGAGTTCCTTCATCCAAGAGCAGCAAGAATGTTCCCCCAGAGAAGAAATCTGGGGAATTCTGGGACATCTTCCCACTTCTGGATGCTTTTAGTGTATGTTTAGAGGGTATAGGGGGAGTGGGGAACCCTCAGCTCTCCAAAGGCACCTTAATGGCAGTGGTTGAGCTGTTCTGCAGTACCAAGGATGCCAGTTAGGTCTTCCAGCTTTCTGCCTTAACATCTTGGGCTCCTTTCTACATTCAGAACCTTCCAGACAGAAAAAGTCTCCCCAATTACACAAAAGCTTGGTTTCAACAGAGACACAGGAGGTCCTTGAAGTCTTTGTAACTTTTAGGAACAGGGCTCCACCTTACCAGGAAGTTTCAGGTCCTTGAAGAGGGTTTAATAGGCCCCATTCTGAAAGGAAACATCATAATCTCTTGTAATCTCCGTTTACTGGTCCTCAGTGCCCTTCCTAGGGCCCCCTAGTGGGATAGGACCTCCAGAGGTAGGTTTAAAAAAAAAGTCCTTTCACTCCTAAACTCCAATGGGCTCCATCTCCACTGAGTGGCCAAGGGCCCTTGAGCTGGGCTGTGGGTTCAGGTAGATCCTGAGGGCTTCCCCCTAGGAGAAGGGCCTGATATCACAGCTACTGGCGAAGCCAGGCTGCTCAGCAATTCAGTATTGTCTGATGTAGTGAGGGACTGGGGCAGAGGGTTGGGGCTGGGTGAGATTGCTACCCTTTCTGACCCCAGCCCTCTTAAGGCTGTTGGCTCTGTGCCCAGTAAAGGAATAACTAGAAGTGCTGGTGGAAGGAGGGGGATTTGCCAAAACATAAGCTAACTTTTGTTCCTAAAATTTCCCCCCTGCTTCAGGCAGAGGAAATATGCAAAGGGGCCCGGGAAAGAGGCCCGACCGGATGAGGCTCCGGCGCCAGGCTGGGCCAGGGGGCTCTCTGAACAAGGGGCCTCTGCTACAGCAGAGGGCACTGGGAAGACCCAACCCAGTACAGGGGAAATGTAGCTTTCAACCCACTGTCTTGATAAGCAAAGGCCAGCAAAGCTGTCCCTTGA